CTCCCGGACTCCTCCCTCCTACCCCACCCTTCCCCCCCTCTCCGCAGTCCCTCTGCCTCTCCCCGGGTCCCTACGCCTCTCCCGCATATCCTCCCAGATCCCATCCTCTCTCCCCGCTCAGTTCTCTTCCTCCGTACTTCGCCCATCCTCCACCATCCTCCTCCGTCCTGGTGCCTCCTGCCTCGTCCTGCCTCTCCTGTTTCCTCCAGTCCAGTCTTTCGCCCACACCTCCCCTCCCTTCCCTTCCTCTACTCGTTTCCCACCGTTCCCCTCCTCCCTCGTTCCCCCTCATCCCTCCGTGCTCTCCCCCGTCCAAGAGGGCGGTCTGGACGCGCCTTGGCGCCCCGTCTGTGAGGGGCAGGTCGGTTGAAGCCAGAGCTCGGGTCATCGGCGCAGGACCTGTCTGGGAGTGAGGAGCGAGGGGCCGCCGTCGTTGCTGCGTGTCGCCAAAGCAGCGCACTAAGCCAACTGCAGGGGCACAAACGTGGACGCTCGTCGCTTGTGGCCCGCGGGTTCGCGGCATGGGCCTGGGGGTGGTCCTCCCCCCTGCAGGAGGATTCGCGAGAGCATGATGAGCGCGTTTCGAGTTGCGCCCACCACGAAACGCGCAGGAGTGCGACCTAGGAAAGGGTTCAGGAGAGATGTCACGCGTGGACACCACGACAGCTCCCCAGAATTCTAGACGCTTCGCGTAACCCGACCAGCTCGTCCAGAAGCGATGCCCATTCGAGGTACCTTGATCAGGGCTGTGGAGGAGCATGCAGTGGAATAAAGGGCTTGCGAGGAAGTCATGCCCCAAGAGGGAGAAAATGGAGGAGACATCGGAGGAGGAGGAGGAGGGTGATTTCTTGAGGCTCGACCTGACGGCATTTCGGGCTCATGTCATACGGCATCGCGCGCAGTACGAACCCGATAGGCCCGAGCTGAACGACGGAGGGATCTATCAATGTTGGGCTAAGGACAATGATGGCAACCCGCACCAGACTAGGCTCTCGGACAACGTCACGTTCGCACCACACTACGTTCACACACGTGCAGGCACGCACGGACGGCAAGTATTGTTCAGAGCATGTTGCTTCAGCAACATGTGTACGATTTTGTGGTACAGTATTTTGTTCGCACGCGCAGGCACAGGCGCATATGAGTGTTGCGGTGTCTCGTGGAATGTGTGTGTGGATCGGTCTCGCTCGTCACCCGTGATAACTATGCAGACGGCGCAACGCAGATTGTGCCATTTCATTGTCGATGAGCCTCAAGCCTTGAGACATCACACTCTAGACGCCCATCTCTCGGTGCATCTGGGACGGCACGTTCTGGAGCTTGATGTCTTGGCTGATGGGAGCGCGGCAGGAGAACGTAGGCCAGAGAGACACGAAGAAGAGCAAGGCGAAGGAGAACGACGACGCGGTGTCCAAGAAAATGGTCGTCCAGCCCGAGGCGCGCATGAGGGCACAGGAGGACTTCACCCAGACGCAGGTGCACCTGCCGTTGGATCACCCGCTCGTGACGGCATGCCAGACCCAGCACCAGTCGTATCTCGAGTTGGTCAAGAAAGAGGGCCCGCAGCACCAGCGCGGGCCACCAGAGCTCCAGCTTTCTTCGAGGGCTCTGACCGATATCGAGAGTTGGTTGAGCGGGGATTCTTTGACATATCAGAGCCTCAAGAAGTACATCGGCATGCCGGCCAGGGTGAAGAGCATGCTCGAGATTGGCAGCAGCGAGGACGCGAGCGAGTGGGTCAAGGACTTTACGTTCTCACAGATATACGATACGAAGAAGGTGCGGTTGACGATGGGTATTTGAGGGATGGCGCTGGCACCGACGTCGCCCAAGTACGCCGAGGCGCTCAACAAGTGCCAGGCCGAGGCGCCGGGGGGGGGGGGCGGCCGCAGACGAGAGCCACGAGACGGCGCTCCAGAGGTCGCCCCTAAAGGTCCCGCCCATCGAGAAAGGGGTCAAGGCCGTCGAGCTCCAGCACGCCCTCACCGTGATCCTCAGGGGTTGGAACGGCTCGGCGAAGGTCGGGCGCGGCCCGAGGGGCCCCAATGGCGAAGCAGCTGTTGAGCAAGAAGTAGGACGGAGAGGCGCCCCGCGGCCCGCGCGGGCCGCCGGCGGGCGGGGGTGTCGAGCGTTCGCAGAGCGGGGGTTCAGCGTCGCGGCCCGTCCCCCGCCGCGGGCCCTCTTGAGGGCCCGTGGCCGCCGCGTTCCACTCTCGTGCGTTCGGCCCTTGGGGGCCATCTGCGAGGCTGAACCCGCCGTGGGAAAGCTAAGCTCCGCGGCTATAGCTGCCCAGCGTCGAAAGCGGATGGGACTTCACGCGGCGCGAATGGGGCGGTAGTAGTAGCAGTAGAAGGAGGAGGAGGGCGAGGGGGAGGAAGGAGGAAGAGAACGTGCAAAAGGAGGAGGAGGAGGAGGAGGAGGAGCGCGCGTAAGTGAGGCGATGCCGAAGGCGCGATGTCCCGACCTGAGGCGGAGGCAGGCGGCGGGGGCGGGGGGCGGCCGCGGCGGCGGGTGGCCCTGCACGTCGAAGCTGTTGAACGGGCGCGCGCGCGCGCGGGGTCGCGCGCCGAGCCGTTCGCCACTCTGACCGACCGACTTACCGCCCCCCCCCCCCCCCCCCCCCCCGCACACACGCACACCACACACACACACACACACACGCACGCACGCACGCGCGCACGCACGCACGCACGCACGCACGCACGCACGCACGCACACACACACACACACACACACACGCACACACACACACACACGCGCACACCACGCACACAACGCACCCACACAGCACGCACGTACGCACGCACACACACACACATTCTCTCTCTCTCTCTCTCTCTCTCTCTCTCTCTTTCTCTCTCTCTCTCTCTCTCTCTCTTTCTCTCTTTCTCTCTTACACGCGCAACGCACGCACGCGCGCACGCCCGCCCACCCACACACGCGCACACATACGCACAACGCACACAACACACGCAGACACACACACAGACACATACACGCACACTCACTCACTCACTCACACTGAAGGTGTCGCTCGCTTTGCCTTCTCCGCTCTGCGCAAACACTTGGGTTCTGTGGGAGGCAACCCGATTCAATTGATTCCTTACGTTTCGGAATATTATCTGAACGGGGCGTTCCTAGGCGGACTGCCTGGGCCTGGATATGGCACCCGTGAGCTAGCCAGAACCACGCGTTGAGATTTGAAGGTTTTGGCATGTGGTGAGTCTGGTCAACCCACCCCCCCAGCCAGATGCAGCCGGGCCCCTTCAGGAAGAGACCGACACCCCCCCCCCCCAAGGTTTTGCAAATTGAAGCAGCGACTTTGCCGCCACTCAAGGCTCCTCTGATTGGCCGGCCGCGCCGCAACAACGCTGGCACGCATTGCCAGAGTCTGCCAGCATATGTTTTGCACAGGAAGCCGAAGCTCTAGTGTGGCCAGGGGGAGGGGCGCAGAGAACCTCAGGGCCAGGCTTGGCTCTCCCCCCCCGCCCAAGGGCCGACAATTCCTTTTCGATCTCCGTGGCGTCTAGGGTGGCTTTTCAAAAACGGCGACGCACCATGGGAGCTTTCTTCTCGATCGCGTGCTCCTTGTGGCGATGACTTCGTCAAGTCAACTTTGATATGCTGCAATCTCGGCCACCTTATCTGCAGTGGCGCTGGCTGAGACTATTCATTCAGGGCATCGGCGCCCATGCGCAGGTTTGCAGTCAAGATGGGAATCGGCAAAGAGCACGACGACAGAGGACGGGTCACGCTCGCCAAGAAACGCATGGCTTAGCCTTTCACACGCATCGGAGTCGCCCCCTTCGGGGTGAAGGTCTTTTTTGTTACGCCAGCCCGACGCAACTCCTAAGTTGTCACAGATAAATGAGATGCCCCATTGAGGTTTGGCACGCAAGAAGAAAGCCTAAATGTTCCCCATCGACGGACGGTTTGCTGAACGCTTAAGAGAGGGCCGCGCATAGTTCCCAGCGCGAAGGCACGACTGGCTCTGAAAGGCCCCCCACACACACACACACACACGCACACACACACACACACGCACCCCACCGCCGCCGACGCCGAGTAGCAGCGCGCATGTTGTGAGCGACGGTTGCGCCACGCGATGCAGGGGCCGAACAAACTTCGCTGGATGTCCACGCCCACTGCGCCTGGTATACTGCGCGGAATGCGGAGCACTGGGTGCGCATTGCGCGCCATGCATTTCTGGGCGTTTGCGCCCACCACGTGTGAAACATGTCTATTCATTGTCTTACGCGGCGCGACGCACCCCGCAGCGTTTGGGGCACACCCCAGGGGCATAACGTTACGCGCGCTCACGCCCACCACATGCGTGAACGCATCGATTCGTTCACGCCCCGCGCCGCAGCGCCACGTTGATTCATCCGCCGCGCGCCCTGGCACACCGCAGAAAGAAATTACCGAAACCGAGCGTCAGAAGGCAGCCCGACGGGACGAACACCCACGCAATTCAAACCCAAATCGCATGCACGTCGGAGTGATGCCACGAAATTCGAAAGGAAAAACGCAATCCAGCTATAGAATTTGATGGGGGGTGTTTGGGCCGCGCGCTCACTGATGCGGACAGGACTGGGCGCCGAAGTTTCGTTTGTATTTCGGTTGTGGCTGGGGCTTTGGCGCGTCGTTAGGAGACATGTTTCCGCGCCTGCAGTATTGTTTTTTTTTTTTTCAGCTCTGGTGGCCTCTGGGGGGCTCGAGCTTCACAGCGGCAACTCATGCGCGCCTCAATCTTGGATCCGCGGAGCCGTCCCCCCATTGGCATCACTTGCTACGGAAATCGGTCGTGACACACTGCCTGCTCCTCAGGGGTTTTTTTTTTCACGACCGCTAGTCTGACTTCCGCACTTCCAATCTGCATCTCGAAATCGGCCTTGCACGTCCGCCCATTTTTTCGGGGTGAGATCTCTGAACCTGAAACATTGTGTTGCTTCATTATGACTGCATGCGTCAGGAAGTATTGGGTCTGGTAAGGTGTACGCTGTGTTGTCTTCACAGCGCGCACAACCCTCAACAGCGATGGGCCATAGATTGAGGATTCTCTCGGCACCGAGGGCATTGTTTTGGAACTTGCGTTGGCGTCCATTCTGGGCGCCGCTCCCTAGGCCAACCAAGTACCCCCGTTGCTATGGCCACTGATAATCGGTGTACGCTGGGAACGTCTCGAACTTGGCGGATCAATTGGCCATAGCTGTACATGTCCACTCCCTTTTTCAAGCCTCCTCCACAGTTGTGCTGGCTTGCTTGATTACAAAACATGTGCTGGCTATCGCTTTTGAACTCATTAATGAGCTCCTTTGCAGTGCTGACAGAACTGAATTCTGAAACAGCTCTCAGTCTGGAAATCTCATTCGACTATATGTCCTCGGTCTGCGATCCCAGGGTCCTGCCGCTGTTGGGGCCCAACTTGTTTCCAGAAGATACCTGGTAACTGCACTTAGAGGCCCGCGAATATGACGATGCCGCTGCCCTTGCTCAATTGCCGTCAGCTTGTCCACTGTTGATTGCCAATTTGGTTAGATCGCTTGCTGTAAATGGTGACCTTCGTGAGCCACCATTCTGAACCAGACTTGCAAACATTATGCTGGTATCTCTACCCCGAGGTTTTCGCCCGGACATTTTAGCGCCGACAAAATTGTCAAGCACCGGCCCGACGTCTGAGCGGCACTTACTGCCCCCAGCCTCATTCGGAACGTTTGCAGCTGCGTTCCGAAAGTGCCGTAGGAGGGAGGAGGGGGAGCGCGCGGATGAGGAGCAGGAGGAGGAGGAGGAAAACGAAAATGACGAAAGGGGCGAACAGAAGAGCCAGAAGCCTCTTGACTGCCTCCCGGACTCTCCTCGGATGTCTCTTGGAAGCTGTTTGGAGGCTTCTTGGGGCGTCTGGGGAGGTCGGTCGCGGGTGCATCAGGAATCATTTTGAGGCTTGTTGGGGGGCTTTGGGGAGCTTCGTGGAGGCCCTTTGGGCGCCTCTTGAAGCCGTCTGGGCGCCTCGTGGGGCCCTCGTGGGGGGTCTTAGGGGCGCTCTTGGAGCCATCTTGTAAGACATCGACCGGAGGTGGACAGAAACCCCCACCCTGACGCGTCGATTCGTGAATTGTCCGTTTTTGGTTCTCGATGGGGCGCCGCGGCCGTCATTTTCCAGGCTTGTGCCCGCCAGGTTTGGCCCCGAGGTCGTTTTCAATAAAAACAACGTTTTGCTAAAGGGGGTTTTGTCCATCCGCGAATCGATCGGGAAGAGGGGAGCTTCAATTAGGGCGCCCCCTCGGGAGCCCAACAAATCGCCTTTGGGGGCACTCTTGGAGTGCTCTTGGGCGCTCTTGGTGCCGTTTTGGAGGCCTCTCGGGCCCCTCTTGGAGCCCTCTTGAGCCATCTTGGAACCACCCTCAGGCTTCGGAAGGCCATCGGAAGCAAAAAGGCGAGCAAACGAAAAACACAGATTTCCTAAGGTGTTGGACGGATTTCGGCCTCTTTGCGGCCTCCTAGGGAGGCTCCGTGGCCACTTGGAGCTGTATTGGAGCGTTCTTGGGGCCTCCCTGGAGTATCTTGGGAGACATCTTAGGTTATCTTGACCATCTTGGAGTTCATCTTTGGGCTCTCTGAGGCGCTCTTGGAGCCGTCTTGGGCCATCTTGGATGCTCCACCCCCTCGCGAACACCCCCCGTCCCAAGTCCAGGGGAGGGGTGAGGGGGAGGGATAAACCCCTCCCCGAGGGGAAGAAGGGGGTTGGAAGAGGAAGCGCTCTAGACCACCTACGCCCAGAGGGTTGGTGGGATTGAAGGCCTCGATCGGGTTAAACGGCTTCGACCGCCAATGACCCCCATCGCTGCGGTGCCGCTACCACTTGAAGTAGCCAGCCGTCCAGGATCCGGCCTCCAATCTATGCCAGCAGAGCACAGAGTGTAGGAGGACGGCAGGAGGAGTTGAAGGGTTCGGATTAGGAGGCTCCAGTTCGGGTCGAGGAGGTGTTGGGAGGAGGGAGAGGAGGAGGACGAAGAAGAATACGAATACGCAGCATAAGAAGAGGAGGAGGAGGAGGAGTGTGTGGGGTCTGTGTGTTGCAGTGTGTGCTTTTGCGTGTGAGTATGTGTTTGTACAAAGTGTGAGTGAATGTGTGAATGTGTGTGAGGGTGTGTGAGGGTGTGTGTGTGAGTGTGAGTGTGTGTGTTTATGATGTGTGTGGTTTATGTGTGAAGGTGCGTGCGTGTGTGTGTGTGTGTGCGTGTGCGAGTGACTCTGCGTCTGTGTGCGAATTCGTGTGTGAGTGTGCCTGTGTGTCTCGGTGTCTCTGTGTGTTTATGTGTGTCTCCGTATGTCCATGTGTGCCTCTGTGATCCTGTGTGTGTCTGTGCGTGTGTGAATTTCCACGCGAAGTGAACAGGAAGCGGAATGCGCTTGCCCCAGATGGACAGATGTGATTGCCGCCATACCCTAAAGCGTGAATCGACATTCACAGGAGCAGGGGGGTTGAAGCAGGAGGAGGAGGAGGAGGATGGGGAGGGAGGAGGAGGAGGAGGAGGAAGAAGTGCATATGGAAGAGGAGCGGGAGCAGGCGTGCGCAGGACATGCTGAGGCAGAGGATCCGAGGCAAGAGCACGCAGGAGCAGGAGGACGGAGGGAAGACGAAGGAGGACGGAGGAGGGCCAGGGGGCACGGAGGACGAGGGGGGCAGGACCGAGAAGGACAGGACCCTGTGTGGCGGAGGAGCGGGGCTGCCAGGACTCCAGCGCGGCTACCAGTGATCGGCGCCTGCGCGCGTGCCCCCCCCCCGCCCCACACCCCGCTACGTTTCACGCATTCTTCGGCTTGCGCGGAGGAACCGCGACTCGGTGCTCAAGCACTCTGCCCGGTCTGTGCCCGCCGAGAGTGAGCAGGCGTGTACATACAGGTTTGCAGCATCGTGTCCGAACGTGAGCCGGTTGTCGGAGCACCTTGCCCGTGGAAGGACGCGGTGGAGCCCGTCGTCTCCCAGTGAGGCTGTTCAAAGTCGGGGAGGTTAGAGCAGGAGGCGACAGCGACGCGGGGCGAGGACGGATCGAGGGCGTGGTGAGTGAGGGTTGACGTTTGCCCACCGTGGAGCGCGGGAGCCAGCTCTGAGTTGTGTTGGCGAACAAGCCAGAGTTACGCAAATACTCTTTAAACAATGTGTGAAGTGATCTTCGGCCGCTCTTTCGAATATAACTTAGCGGCTCTAGCGAGCCACTCGGCGATGACGGCATCAATGATGTTCTCAGAGGGATACATATCAACACACAATGTCACAACAATGCAGAATGCCGTCCAGCTTCGGAACCGTTCGTGCCACTTGCACTCAATCATCTGTGCTCCATCTAGGATGTCTCTACTTCCGGCCGCACTGATAGTTTTTTTATCACGGGCCCTGACCAGCCTTTCAGATATTCTGCCTGCCAGATCTTCCTCGGCTCTGCTCCTCTTTGTACGTTTTGAGTGCCGGCTCTCTTTCCTCCGTTTGTGTCTCATCTTCTTCCAATCAAGAGGCTTACGCCATTCCGCCGACCCCCAATACAGGAAATAAGTTCACGGGCGAGGCCTTCCGAGGGGACTTTTTGAAGCTTCTGGGGGGTTCTTTCTGGCCTCTTGGAAGCTTTTCGGGGCCTTGGTGGGAGGATCTTGGGCGCCCATTGGCAATCTCGGGGGTCTTCTTGGGGCGGGGGGCTTGACATGTCCGTTCGAAATGTTTCTCTTCGGCCCCTCTTCTGGTCTTCTTGGATCCTCTTGGGCCTTCTTGGGCGCATCTTGGCCCTCTGGGAACCTTTTGGGTTTCTTGGGCCGTCTTGGAGCGGTCTTTGGGGGCTTGTTGGACCGCCTTAGACGATATCGACACCAAAGCGGAGAATGTGCAAAGACTGTCCGCTTCGAGGAGGGATTCGAGCGAATTGTGCCCCTTCGGCCCTCAGTGGGGTTTACGTGGAGCCATCCTGGGGCGTTCTTGGGGCCCTGGGCCGTCGTCAGGCCATCGTTGGTGTTTTTGAAGGCCTCTCGGCGTGTTGGCGCCCAGGTTGCGCCAGCCGGAATGGCACCGTGGGCATCTCGGAGGCCACGGGGCGAAGAGTTGGAGGCTCTGGAGCAACCTTCGGGACAGCCATGGTGAAAGTCATCGGGGCAATCATAGAGCCAGCCATCGGAATAACCATCTGGACAACCATCGAGATCACCAACGATACATTTGCGCAACCATCGAGATCGGGACAACCATCGATACAGCCATCGAGACAACCATCGGGACAACCATCGGCGAGGCTCAAGGGGGTGCATTCACGAGCTCGTGCACCCCAAGCCCCCCCTTCGCCCCCCTCCCCGTGCGATTTCGAACCATGAGGGGGGCGGCGGGGAGGGGGAGAGGGACAGCTGCATATTGCGAAGGCCTCACGGCAGGTGCCGCCGACCCTGAATGGCGACGACGACGACGAGCGCTCTCGGGTGCTTCTTGCGGGTAGTTTGGGGGCCTCTTGGGAAGCTCTTGGGGGCCGCTTGGAAGCCTCGCGGGGGCCTCCTGGGGCTTCTCGGGGTCTCTTGGGGGCTTCTCGGGGTTCTCTTGGGGGGCTTCTTAGGGACCTCTGGGGGCCTCCTGAGAGCTGCTCATGCCGAGGGCTCGAAATGTCCGTTCGGGTCCCCCGTCTGGGCTCCTCCTTGGAGCCGTCTTGTGGGCCTCTTCGGCTGTCTTGGAGGCCTCTTGGTCCGTCTCGGGGCCCTCTTGTGTCGTTTTGGGGCTCTCTTGGAGGCCTCTTGAACCATCTTGGGGCGGTCTTTGGGGCTTCTTGGCCTGTCTTGGAGCGTCGGGAAGCTGACAAGGCGAGAATGCCGAAATCCTTTCGACTTAACTACAACGTTGCTCAATTTCGCTGTGGCTGGCGCGCTCGAGGAGGAGAACCCAGTGAAAGTGGGGGAACGGCGACGGGCCTGTATGGGAAAAAGGGGGGAAACGAGCGGCGAAGGCGACGACGACGACGACGACAACGACCGCGACGACGACGACGACGACGAGTCAAACGGAACAGCCTCTCCCACACGCCGACATGGTCGGCGGATCTTGCACGCCTTGTCACCCCTGGCCAGCGGGGTGCGGCGGACTCTTGCCATACTGTGCCAGCTTCGTTTCTTCGCTATACTGTGCCGGCTTTGTTTCTTCCGTCGTGTCATGCCTCTAGGCCTCTTGCACGGGCAGGAAGCGAAGATCCGCAGGAAGCGATTGCAGCGCGTGCCAAAGGAGCTCGTCCGTATCCAGCATGGCGTCTCGTGCAACGTTTGCTCGCTGGGTTGTGGTTTGGTGGCACCTAGTGTAACTACGCTGCTGGGTACTTCCCAGTTTTTCGTAGCTTCGCGGGGCCAGCCCCGCATTTTTGTTACACAGCCGACCTGCCGATGTCATTCCAGTGACCTTTCTCGCACGACATGTGCTGTCAGACCTCGCTTCTCCACGACTCCGCGGAAGGAGGGGATGTAAGTATGTACATGAAGTACAGTCGCGGCTTGTCAATGAGAAATTACATTACCGCACGTGTCTGTCCTGATGCCGTATGGCATGTTATCATCCTGTAAATCGATGGTCGAGGATAATATGCCGAACGGTCACGCTGACGCAGGTGATCGCGTCATGCCAATGCCGTCGGCGCTCTTGCGGCACATCGCGCCACCGTGACAGCGCATAATTTTGGTGAGACAACCTTTGAAGAACCGTCCAAAAGGCCGTAACACTTGCCAGATCAGCAGCTCTTGTCCTTGGGTTTCAGGGGGTCGCGACCTGAAAAGAACTCTTCCGCAGGCTAGACAATGCAGTAACTTGGCGGCGAGAAAAGGGGGGTAGGGGGAAGGGGGAAGGCTTCTTAGAAGCGCCCCTGCTCCTTGGAGGGCGCGGGCTTTGTCTATAGATGTAAGGCCCGGGCCTTCTAAGAAGCAGGGTTACTTCTAAGACGCCTTCTCCCCTCCCCCATACCCCCCTCTGCGCGCCGCCAAGGGTCGCGACCTGAAAAGACATCTTCCGCGGGCTGGAGAATGCAGCAAAACGCTTATGACTGGCACTGGCTCGGGGCCCAGATCTGGCCCCGACGTGTCACCGCTCGCTGCTTCCGTGGAGAAAACTTCACGTGTGGCACCAGGATGTTCTACTTTACTGTGGCCTTGAACACCAGAAAGAGTTTCGAGCACCAAGAAAATACTGAAACTTGAGGGCTTTCACGTGCCGGGCCCTGGGAGGCGATGCTCGTTCGACATTGACTCGATACTTTTTCTGGGTGCCCGACCTGATTTCTGGGATGTGGTCCTTAAGTACGATGGGAGCAACGTCAGTGTGGCACCTGATTGAGCCCCCCATGGCCGAGAGGGTCGGCCTCGTGCGGCATCGGGGGGGCCGGGGACCTCAGGGAGGGCTCGTGGAGGGCTCTTCGGGGCTTCTCTCTGGACTTTGCTGGGACTGGACTGCTCGGGCCAGATGCCGCCGTCTGGAGGGAGGGGGGTCTTGGGCCTCAGCACGCCCGAAATGGGTACAGAACTATCCTGGCGAAGGACCTAACCATATGCAGTTGTGAGTACCGCAGGGCAGGCGGGACGATCGAGGGGGGACTCCCGATGGGGCCGCGAACCGCGTGAGACGTGCGAACCGCGTGAGAGGGGTGTGCCAAAATGGGACGGGTACCGCATGCGGGCTGTGGGGGAGACGCAGGCGATAACGGCCGCTGTGACCGTCGGTGGAGCTCCGTATGGGGCCACGAAGCGTATCGGGGGCGTGCCGAACTTGGCGGGAGAGGCGAGCACGAGGACGGCCGCAGGAGCCTTCGGTGGAGCTCCCCATCGGGCCACGATCCTCGTGAGGGGTGAGCTGAAATGAAAGGGTCGGACGCGAGCTGGCGGCGCCCCTATTCGGCCGCGACCCTCGTCAGGGGTGTGATGAAATGGGTGGGTCGGACGCAAGCGGGCGGCGCCACTGGGACCGTCGGTGGACCTCCTCATGGGGCCACGATCTTCATCAGGAGTGTGCCGAAATGGGTGGGTCGGACGCATGCGGGCGGCGCTGGGATTTTTTTTTAGCTGTGCCCTCGGCTCGCGCGGCGCGAGCTCGGTCCTGGGGTGGCTCCAGGGTGTGCGCCGTCACCAGGGGCGCCCGCGCGGGGCACCCACCTGGCCGTGCCAGCCCCAAACGGGGCCAGACCACCGAAGGCACTCCCCTTGACACCGCCGCTACCGCAGAGGCCGAGGCTGACGAATGCTCGGCTTGCTCTACTGAGGTTTGCGGCATCACCTGGGGCACCTCCGCGGGGCACCTTCCAGGCTGTGCCACCGTCCAAAGAGGGCAGTCCACCGAAGCCATTCCTTCAGGAGCAACGGCGGCGGGAGCCACCAGGCGCAAGGCGCGCCACCCGCGAGCGCGGGCTAAAGGGCGATGGCAGGCCTCCAGCTCACGGCCTCTAGCATCTGCCGAAGCTGCTCGCTGAGCCGAGGCTCGTAGTCAGCCGCCTGGCGAAGGAGGCCGTCGGCCACCAAGAAGACCTCCTCAGGGCCGACCACCGAGGCCGCAGCTCCGCCTACAGCAGGCGCCGCCACCGCGAGCGCCACACCCAGCTCCGCCGCCGCCTTCGCCCGAGGACGCCTGGGCCCGCGCCGCCGCCGCCGCGCGGCTCCGTCGGCCTGGCCGTCGCACCCGAGGCCGCACCCCGCAGCACCAGCAGCTCCTCCAGCTCCGCGAGCTGGATCCGCCGCCTCCGCCGCGGCAGCGGCCCCGTCCGAGGGAGGGCCTCCGCAGCGGCCGCCACCGCCCCACCATCGGGGAATCGCACGAGCCCGTCGGCCCATGCGTCGTCGAAGTCCTCCATCTCCGCGTCGGCAGCCTCCGCCTCCACAGCGGCCACGGGGGCGAGCGCGAGACCCGCACCAGCAGCGGCAGCAGCGGCTCCAGCAGC